CCACGCTGGGCCATCACCGCCGCGCCAAGGTCGTCAGCGCACCACCTCGAGATGCCCCGACGCTTGGAGTCCAGGTTGGATTTCAGGTCCTGGCCGAACGGGTGGGCGGCGAGGACGAACAGCGTGCCGCTGGCGGGGTCGCCCTGAAGGATGCCCGAACGCACCGAGTAGAGCGCCGCCTTCGCGCGGGAGGCCGCGAGGGCGACGACCCCGTCGCAGTTGACATTCAGCGCGTCCTGGAGCCCCTGGGGGGCGCCCATGGCACGCAGCGAGCCGAAGAGCCAGTCTTGCGCGATGCTCGGGAAGGCCTGGCCCCAATCGAAGGAGATGATGAAGGGAGAGTCGGAACTCCCCGCAGCCATGGACAGCACACGGGAGTGCGAGTCCAGCTCGACTATGTTGTCGCAGAAGTTGCGCCCGCATATGCAGCCGCGCTGCGTGTCCACGCAGCGCCGCTCCGCCATTCTCTTCATGCATGAGTTGAGGGCCCACGTGACGGCCTTCTTGGAGGTGTTCTCCAGCGCAAGCGGACGAGTCTCGCCGGCACGCCTGAGGACTTCATGAGGGTCATCCGCACGTGTCCCCTTGGCGGGGAAGACGGCGACGGTGTAGTTCCACTCCTGGCGCATGGGGAGGCCGTCAAGCTGCCACGCCAGTGCTGCCGCCAGCGCCTCGACCCCCATCGGCGTGGCGAGCCAAGCCTTAGCACCAAGGCCGTCGGGGCCAGGGGCTGACTTGCGGGCCTTGCGGAGAGCCAATGCCACGGCGTGCGCCGAGGGGGGCTCGATCGAGGCCCAGTCAGCACCCTGGATGCCGCAGCGGTGGAGATATCCATCCTGGAGTTCCCGTCGGCGCTGGACAGCACGAGGAGCATCTCGGGGGAGGAGTGCCATGATGCCGTCCTGGAAGGTCATGGGGACGCCGTTCGGGTTGGTGACTAGGTTGCGCATCATCTCTTCCGCAGACTGCTTCCGTTTGACCACGTCGTCGCCGAAGACGCCTCGCCAGTAGTGCGCGAGCGCTCTCTGTATGTCCTGCTCCGATCGCGCCACCGCGCCGTCGTCCAGCTCGATGCCACCCAGGAAACGTCGGGCCGACGACGGCGCCCACATGGCCGCACGCCGACGAAGGGCCCTCTGCTGCCTGACCATCGCTCCCTTGTTGGACTCGAGCCGTTCTATGTCATGTTGATGCTGGCGGAGTCGGGCTTGCATCTCGCGGCGTTGCGCCAGGCGGTACCGACGAGAGAAGCCCTGAGGGTCGAGGAGCACCACCTGGTCTCTGCCCGGACCTGGGTGATGGCGAAGCTCGATCATCTGGCTCGTCCATGAATGCTGTCGCAGGAGGGCCTCCGCCATCCGAGAGTCCTGACGCGATATCGCTCGACCAAGTTGTCTCCAGATCAGCGCCGTCGGCGACCGCAGACCGGGCTCACCACGAAGAATGGCATCACGGGTGGCGGCCGCTGCCGCCTGCAGTATCTTCGCGTGGTAGTGTACCCGATCGGGAGGAGAGAGGTCATCCAGGGGGACCGCGTTCTCGCACTGCCTGATCATCTCGCCGAACAACGGATTCTCCGATACGAAGGACGGGACAGGGTTGATGACGCCCGTGGTAGGTCTCTTTCTCGGTGGGCGGGGAGCCCATGCTACCGAGAACATCGCGTGGTCCGAAAGCCCGTCGAGGTGCATCTCATGGGGCTCCCCATGCACCTGCCCATGCTGGAAGGTCTGCGTGAGTAACCATCGTGGGGAACCAACCCAGATCTTGTCGATCGAGGTGGCGATCTGTCTGCCTGGGTGCCAGTGCGTCGGCTTGTGAGGGACCATCTCCGTCGCAGAACTGAGCGAGTGAGCCCATGCGCGGCCGCGGGGGTGCGAGGCGGCCCTGCGCCCGCCTCCAGGGACCAGGGGGCCCTCCACCTCGACATTCTCGCCGTAATTGAAGTCGCCCACGATCACCACACATCGCCTCCTCGGATCCACTTCCATGTCACGTAGATCGGCCTGGAGCTCGCCAACGACACGCCGAACCTGTTCGCGGGGTAGGTCGTGGTCATGGATGTTCCAGTGCTTCAGAGTGTAGCCAGCGCATGGCCCGTCCGTGATCGTGGCCGTAACGCGGATCACCCGAGCCTTGATGGAGTACGTCTTGCGCAGGTCCAGGCCCGCGCGCACCTTGAAGGGGAAGATGGTGGCGACGCTTCCGAGGGACTCGTCAGCATTGCCACCGAAGGAGTAAAACATCTGGTAGTCCGTCCCCAAGCGATCTATCAACGTACGCAGGCGCACGGCCGACCCGTGGACCTCCTGCATACCAACGATAGCCCCTGCTCGGAGTGCATTCCCTAGGTAGTTGCTCTTGCGTGCCGCCACGTTCGCCTTGTGGTGACAGAGTGCCCTTGCATTCCAGGTGGCGAAGGTGAGCCCCTTGCTCATCGGGGCGGCAAAGAGCTTGACGAACGTGCTAAAGACACCAATCATCATCACCAGTAGCCAAC